TTCAAAAGTAGTTGCTATTCTTGGCCAGAACTTTGTTTCTTTCTCCCTCCTCCCCACCCACCCCCCCAAAAAACTCAAGATGAAAAATATGAAATCAATGGTTCATGGAGATTTTCTTGCCCCCACCTCACATAAATAAAGGAGGTGGTAGAAACAAATGTAATGCAACAAAGTCTAAAAGTGGAACCATCATTTCCCAATTGTAAGCTTTATGGAATACATTGATATATTTAGCTGTAATCTTTTTTACTCTAGGTGGAGTGATTTGTATAATTGCAGTGGTAGAGTTTTTGTGTAATTTATGATGATTATGAATCTGTAAGTGAAAAAAATGGTAGTAGAGAATAATATATATTTTATATCTATGCCACTGGATAATTAGCTTGGCCCACTGAATGAAGCTGCATTTGTATAGAAATTCATTGAAAAGCCTGCAGTGTATTTTAGGGGGAGAGACTATTTCCAACAATCCTGGTAATGCACACAAAAGTTCATGGATTACCCAATGACATGCACAAATGGGAGCCTGACGATACTAGGCCCTTATGTACAGGTGGACATACAGCCAGAAGCCAGCAATAAGCCTGTTGCAAATCTTTAGGATTGCATAACAACTGCCCATAAATCAAATGCAGCAACACTTGTTAAGATGTATACATGAATGTACAAATAAAGGAAATATCTGCATCTCCTGTGTGGGCAAAGAGGAAAAGTATCAGTATTTTAAAGGAATAATTCATTCTATAACACAGTGATTCTCAACCTTTTTAATGCCGCGACCCCCAACCGGTCGTAAGTCAAGGACTACTCAACCGGTCGTAAGTTGAGGATTACTCAACTGGTGCAGCACTGTTTGCAGAATGGGACTTTTGGTGGGCTCAGAAGGGCAGAGACAGCTTGGACAATTCCTATTGGCTTTTGAAAGCCAATAGAATTAGACTCTATTCAAGAGAGTCTATTCTATTGGCTTTCAAAAGCCAATAGAATAAAAGGGAGTAGCACAGCTAAGGAAAAGGGGGGAAAAATGGTGGACTGCGTTGTTTGGTGACCCCCGTGAAATGGTCATTAGACCCCAAATGGGGTCCCAACCCACAGGTTGAGAACCACTGCTATAACAGAAAGGGAATCTTGCAGAGAGTTGATGCTACAAGTCCCATCAGCTTTGGCCTTTTTCACGCTTAGAATTAATAGGATTTCTGCCTCTAAATATCCTTGGCAGCTGGAGCTATAGCTGAAACCCAACAACATTCAGAACCCCCAAATTTCTCATGTCACAGAACTTTATTTAAAGAACCACAGAAATGCCTTCTATGAACATTATCTGTGTTAATTTGAAAATTCAAAATACTGCCTAATGGAGTTATATATCGTTTTCACTACAACTTAGGGTACAATCCTGTATACATTTACTGGTGAGTAAGCCCTATTTAATTCAACATTTCTTTCTCTGTAGACATGCATAGGATTGTGGTGATATACTGTATTCAACCTATTGTGCTTCATGGACAAAATATTCGGCCCTTTTTGAAGGTAGCAAAGAATGTCTAAGCCTTGCCCATGAAAAAGGTCATTTTAGAGTTTGAAGAAACTTCCCCAATCTGTCAGTCAAGGAATCAGATGTGAAATTATGGGATGGAATGGCTAGTATTGAAAATGTATCACTTTGGACAATTGAACAAGAGCCACAGCAGACCATCTGACCTAGCAATCATTCTCCTCTTACTAGAAAGATCTTCCCTAGCCTTCCAAACATGTTGGATTTCAGTTCTGATAATAGTCAAGCCATGTTGGGTGAAGGATTATGGGAGCTAAAGTTCAATACATTTGAAAGTCCCAGGTTAAAAAGATTGTTTTTCATTAATGAGTTACATCTAATCAGTGCTCCATATTCGGCTAAGCATAATTTAAAGACCAGAATAGATGCAAAATGACAGCTACTTTTTGAGCATTTGATCTCTGCTATAAGCATGAATCACATTTTACAAACCACAATGTCCTGTTCATATACTGCATTCAACCAAGACCAAATACACCAGAGTTCAACTTACTACAATGTTGAACAGAGTCTCTGTGTGAATGGCAAAGCCATTTGCTTTCATTGTGTTGACAGAAGCAGAAGGCTGCACAGTGCATGATACTGAATTACAGAGATGATATGGACAAATGCAAGAGTGGCGGTGCATCTTCTGTTTCTATCATTAGGAACCACATTTGTTTTGCTGCTTTCCCATTTGGGGTGGGGTGAGGAAAGATGGGCATGCTGGCCCATCTGAGAAGGATGACATGCTGTAATGTAGCCCATTCTGAACCTGATGTCCCCTCTAATCTACAGAATATGGAAACTGAAGTCCAACACATCTGAAGGCTGTTGTAAAGTAATTAATGCTACAGGTGATACTCTACCTCATCCAGATACCTTTCATAGCAAATATATAATTTACTGCTTCTCATTTCTCATGAAACTTGATTTTCCTTACTATTCCTCACTTCTAAATATACACTTGTATATATTGGACTTTAAAAAAAAACATAATGAAATTCAGAAATGGTAAGAACTAAATGATAAGGAACACTGATGCCTTCTTGTATTGAATGGTCCAGCTTGATCTTGATACTTTTAAATATCCAAAATATAGCATGAGGGAGAAATACACTACAGTACTTAGCAGTGGTCAGACTGCCACAAATAGATCTTGGTGGGACAAAGTGTGCATTACCAAGTTGATGGGGGAAGTCTCCAATCCTTATATCTCTCTCTAAGCAGAAAGCTTTTGGCTAACATGGGGATGAAAAGAAGCTATCTCCAGGCATGCACTGTTTGATAAATCAGAGCAACATATGGTATTGAAACAGTGGTCTTCATTGCCACAAAGAAAAATGGGAAAGAAAACAGAACATAGCACTGTCAAGACACGACATTCCACTCATCATGACTGTGAGAATAATTATAGGAAAATCTGGAAAGAAGTATCACTCACACAGGCACACCATGGAACAATTGGGAGGACTAAACCTGAACAAGTGCAAGAATCTTTAAAATAGACCCTGGCAAGGTTTCCATACGTGCAGCTAAAAATAGGTCACAGCCTTACATTCTACACAACTACCCCCTCCCCAGTGCCTCCCCCTCCCACACACAGCTTAGAAATCCAGCAGCCCTGGTTAGTGAAAACAGTATCAAGTCCCATCTTTTCCTTTGTTTCATTATCCCTGCTATCAACTTTCCAAAGGAAAGGAGAGTTGGTACGAGTTAAAAAAATACTATTAAATAATACATCTGTAATAAAATTATATACCTTTTTTCTTTATATCCATTTCTTTTAAAAGCTAAAATTGCTCTGTTTCTATTTTTCCTCTCTTTTTGGCTGGTGAAGTAACAGCAAAGAATTCTCTCCTTTTTCTTTTGCTTTGTTTTTTCTTTATGAATGGACAAACTTTCATCAAAACAGAGTTTGTACAAGTGATACAAGAAATCAAATTATTTACAATAAATGACAAGGAGTCTTTCAAACAATGACAGAGTGAAGGAGGAAGGAAAATAGCAAAAAGAGAATGTCAAAGCATTGGTCATGAAACAGTCCACATATGCAAAACTTTTGTTACAAAAAGGATTTTATGACACACAGAGTGATCCAGCTAAGGAGGTCCAATCTTGTAAATAGGCTTGTACGCATATATCGCATATATCGCTTGACAGATTGAGAACTGCAGGCATAAACAGGACACATAATTAGATGTGCAAATCAAAGCACAGCTGAGTGATGATGCAGTCACACTGAACTGCATTGTGTTGGAAGTGAGTTAATGCTCATCCACAATGATCCCCAGGCTGGTGAGATATTCATGGTTTCTTTGAACATACCTGGTGCAGGATCAGGGCCAAAACATGCATTGAGGCTGGGGATATGTGATTCCTTTCTGTATTTATGTAGGATAATTGTTAACTAGATGGCAAATGAAAAAGGGATAGGACTGAGGAGAGATGGTGTAAAAATGAACTTACAGAGAAATTAAGGCATTAACAAAAATGACTTAAAGGCACACTTTTTCCCCTTTTCCCCCACCTCGGGAGTTTTTTCTAGAACTTAAACCAGAACTATACAAATTGAGGAACACCTCAGAGCTGAGATGAATAGAGAGATTTAGGCAACAAAGCTAGCATTAAATCCAAATATTTATGAATTTATTTTTGGGGTAAGGAAGAGAATGAAAACATTAAAAATTGCAAAGGTAGGAGAAAGGCATTTGAAAATTCAGGGCCAGGGAAGGGATTTTCAACCCCATCTCATTGTGCAAACAACCCACAAGAGAGGAATGTTGTTTCAAGATCAGATTTAGAAAGAGGTGAAGTGGGTAAGTCTGGCTCAATGCAAACAGGTAATATGAATGGCTTGCGTAGGATAGTAGAACCTTGTGATGCATAGGAAAATTCTCCTGTTCTAGACTCTAAAATGCAAGAGGCAGCTGTGGGTCCCTTTGTTCAGACTGCAATCCATTTCTCTTTCATTCCAAACAAATGGAGGAGGGAAAATTATATATTCACTTATACGGAAGAGGAAAGAGGAGATGAAACTGAATTACAAGAGTTGGAGATGACTAATAAGATCATTAAATCCAACTCCTTGCTCAGAATGGGCATCCAGATTCAAAATTCTGAATAACTATTTAGGATCCATGTGAACACTGGAAAAAAATTATTGAGGAAGAATGCACTTCTTTGCTCGCTCCTACTAACTGTATGTATGAGAGACAAAGAGACAGAAAATATTTTTTTCTCCTTAAGAAGCAAAATGGTTTTTCCAATCCTAAGAAGGGGACAGGTTTAGTGTCCAATGGAGCGAGTGGGGGAGGGAATGGTATCTGAATAAGGAATAATGGGGATGTCCATGTGAAAGCCCCCTCACCAGTCCCTTCACAAATCTCCAAAGAGTCAGGACAATGATGCTGGTGAGAACAAATGCTTGGAGACTGACGCGATCACGCACACACACAGAGGCTCATTTTGTCCAGTGCAACTCTTTTTTTCCTTTTTTTTCTTTTTAATAGATAAAAAATAATAATTTTGTTGTTGTTTTAACGAACTCACAAATGACCAATTAAACCCACAGAGTGACAGCTACAGAAATTGAAGTCTTGGCACTTCACAACACTGGTTCAGCCTCCATTGGCTCTTCTACTGATCTGTAGGAAGAAGGTAAAAAAAAGAGATGATGATGATTAATGGTTTTTCACTATTAGTTATGCTGTTGATGAAAGGATTTTCAAGGGCTGCTTAATAGTAGTAGGGGCACTAACAATTCAAAGGCTTTGTTCTAGGTGGAGGTGAGGTCTAATGACAGTTATGCCCAATCTAGCACTTTCCAGATGGGCTTTGACCACTAGTGCACTCCTCCCACTTTCTGACAAATTGAGGGACCAACACACCAAAGACTAAGGCAATGTTTGTCAATCTCAGCAATGCTGGTTGATGCAAGGCAAGAAAAGACAGGCAATGCTCCTCTTCCTAGTGGATTTGGATGTGCAGAAGTGATTCCTGCCCTTAAGAAACAGTGGTACAGGTGCTGGGGCAACCTGGTCAGGCAGATTAGACCTTAAACTCTCACAAACAGACACTTGCCATCTCCCAAAATGAACCTACCGGACAGCACAGTCTGCTTTTCCTTGCTCTGTGTCCACTGACAATGATGCCATGGCATTGACGGTCTCTGCTTCTTCTGTCTCACCCTTCTGTGCCTCCAGCAACGAGTAGCCAACAATTGCTGCAGAACTTTTCACTGAATCCCAGTGTTTGCCTGTGATACAATTGCCAAGCATTAGATTAAAAATTCTAATACTTATGTTGAGTTCCTGTCTTGTCTACCTACCTTTTCCAAACCCATCGTACTATCAATAAAAGCACACTGTTGTAATCTTTATTGGAATATTTCTTGCTATAATCATGCCTATAATCAACCAATTGCTATGATCATGATTAAGGAGATTTATTAAAATAAATGACTAGCATCCCTAGTCTAGTCTTGAGTGGGACTAGATAGTTAAAACTAGCCAGTTAACTGTAGTTTAGAGATGAGAAATTTCAGGCATGCTCTCTTCTACCATCTAAAGATTGTTGGAAAGGTGGCAAAACAAATGTGATGCACCAGAAAGCAGGACTAGGAAAACGGGGTGGTGCAAGCAAGAGGATTTGTGCTAAAATTCAGAGAAAAATCTAAACTAATGCTTTAAAAGATAGTGGACCTTACTTCTCTTCTAAGCAGATGCTGGAAGGCCATTTGTTTGGGCTACTGTAGCTGATGATTCTAAGGAATTGACCTGGGTGGCTTCTAAGACATGTTTAAACCTAAATGTTATGGCTCTGAATTAGGCGGTAGCATCCTGGTCCAACTTAAACCCATCCACCCTCAATCCCATGTATGATAAAATGTTGAAGGTTATTTTATATCACTAACATTTTTTTTGCAACATAAATTTTACAATAGTTGAGGATATTGCAGATGCCATGCTGAATATAAAGGGCAATCTGCCTCTTACAAGCATGTTGCCAACCCCTATTCTTCATACCAACATGCTGACTGGGGAATTCTGGGAACTGAAATCCACATTCCTTAAAGTTACAAAGGTTGAGAAACAGTTTTATACTATAGAGTTATAACCCTAGCCTGAATGCAGAATAAATCACCAGCTCAAGTTTTTCTTCAACAAATCTCTTTTTTCCATAAGAAAATGCAATCTGAAGCCAAGGTCATGCCTCAAAAACTTACTCTGGATTTCAATGACATTCTCCAATGTAGCTATGGCATTTGCATTGGGTTTTTGTTGCAACAGAGCTTGATCCAACTGTTCCAACTGCAACAACAACAACAAAAAAAACCTCAAGAGTTTAGTTTCTTGATTTCAAATCTGGATAGAAGTCATGAGAAAAGAAAAATAGTTCAAATAAAATGGGTGCCCAAGCAAAAGGCTGTCTGTGAAAATAATTGGGGACATGGTGACAAAAAAGCCAAAACAATTCTATTTCTATTTCCCACAAAGCTTTCATTTGCCATTCCATCCACTTAATATTGTAAATTTATGAAGTTTGCTTCTATTTAGGTTTGAATGACATTTGTTTTTTGTTTGATTATATTTAATAATAAGGTACCTGTGCTTAAATATAAGTTTCCATGTCTCCTTGTGCTCTGCCTATAGTACTGGTATATATACACAATTCACCAACCCTTTATTATTTTGCAACTGAAAATTATAGATTTAGAGAAAAACTCAACACTCATAAAAATATTTGCATTCTAAATAGTGATCTAGAAAAATATCTAAAATAAACTATATTGTTTCATACGTGTTATAAATATATAGGCTGAATGCCAAGTCACACAGTTTTGTGTGCTGCTCAATTTGAGTTACTGTGGTTGAAGATACTACACAAATAAAATTTAGGACAGAGTTAACACACATTTGTAAAATAATCTAATTAGCATCTAATATATATAAAATCTAGGATATAGCCTATATTAAATTATAATATAAACACTAATGTATATTAAAATTACACCAAGTAAAAATATCTATTAATATCAGTAATATTAAAATTTTAAATGAATTATCATTAAAGGGGATGCACTGCAGGATAATAGCCCATCAGAGTTTGAGGGATCTTCTGTGCTGCTGTGCAAAACCTCATGCACTGCAATAAGGGGTGTTTTGTCTATAAGCAGCATCTGGGCATAGGCTAAATTCTGGTGACCAGGATATCTACTGATCAAAGGAAGTATGAATCTAGTTTGGATGTTTCCATCAAGGGAGCCCTGTAGAAGAACATGTTCTATAGTTTCTAACTCTCTGGAATCACAGGTGCAAAACCTTTCAGGCAATGAAATATTCTTGTATTTACAATTCAATACTGCAGAGGAGAGAACATGGCATTGGGCACTAGATAAAGCTTTTTGAAGACTAGGTGTTTCTAGCTGTGCAAGGTAACAGTAACAATGTACTGTTGATGCTGATAGGAAGGTTGGAGCTTTCCCTAGATCTGCTTGCCTTTGCTTCAGGGATTGTTTCCCCTGATCACATTCCATCTTAAGAACTGTGGAGGGAGAGTAGCCTAAATTTTAAAGATTAGATTCCACAGCCTTGATCCATGTGGACTGGATTTTTTCCTGAAGATTAATGGTGCTATGCCTTAGGGAAAGAAGCTGAGCTTTAACCAAAGCTTTACAGATGCACTCTGGACTCTGTCTTCTCTCATAGATGTGTGTTTGGGACACATCATGGTATATGGAGAACTGCTCTAATGAATTTAGATTGTACCCTTTCCAGAGAGGTGAAACACAAAGCCGGGGAGAGGGAGGGCAACCAAAATCCCAAAAAGGAGCTGGGCTAGAGGCTTAGCCTGAAAAAGTTTGAATGCGGTTAGAACACACTATCCTCCCTTGGATCAGAACAATTTAAGGATGGCATTGGCAGATCTTTGTCCAGTAGCAGCATCATATTCGCAGTTGGCATTCATGACTACTTCTAAATACTTAAAGCTAGTCACTTGTTCTATTTTGTGGCTGTTAATGCTCCATAAATGGAGCTTCAGCCTTTTGGCAAAAGTCATACTCTTGGTTTTCATTACTGCAAAAGGATGAAAATTCTCAGAGCTCTTTTGAATCTATTGGTGTTCTGGGAATAACAATTTGTCTGCATAGAGCAGCAGGGAGGGATAATTTAGAGGGATAGAAATTTGGATCATTTGGACATGCCATTGATATAGAAGCTGATAAACAGGGGTACTAAAATATATCCCTGTTTTACCCCTTTTGAGTTGTAACTGGCTTTGACAGAACCCCTGCACACTGTATTTGACTTGAATTTAGTAGAAAAGCCTATAAATGCTTGATGAGGCTTCTGGATTGGGACCTGGATACAGAATCAAAAGCTGCCTTAAGATATACAACTTATGAATGAAGAATTTGGGACTATTAGAGGATATTAGATATTATAAGAAAATAAATGTTATATATATAGCTTTAATATCTCTCCCCCCCCATAGCTTCTACGCTTCAAGAAATTTGATATTTTTATGTTTAGTGTATCTCATAAACTCTAAAAGGGATCTGCATTTTCTCTTCTATCCATTTTCATGACTCATTTTTTTCTCTAACTCTGATTATTAGAGGACTTTTTACATATATTGATCAATTTCCTATATACAAAAGTAGGTATTTTGTCAATTTCAGGATGAGCCTTGTGCAGACACCACTAAAGATGTCAAGAGTCAACTAAGTGAATGCCTTCTTGTTAGAGACATGTCTTTTCCTAAAGGATAGTACTTTTTAAGATATCTTATTAGAGACTTGCTTAATGGCACACAAGGCCTATACCCACTCAGTGTTTATTTGTAAAGAATATTTGTAAAGATGATGCCTTTTTGCAAGGCTTTAACAATTAATTTTTGCCTTGATTTCAATACTTTTAAATTATTATTTCTTGTAATATTTAGCTATCTTTGCTTAAATAGAAAGGTGTGTTATAAATTAAATAGTTAAATTTTAAAATGTACTCTTAATAGATACTGACATGCATTAATGTGTCAGGGAAGTTATACTTTTATACACCTTTCCCATCTATTACTCTACCCTATTGAATGCTAGTTCTCTTTTCAAAAGCATGGATAAAATCACAGCCAACTATTGTCGAAATCTAGACAATGATTAATCATTAGAGTCAGTTAAGACACCAGGCTAGAAAGCAGGACCCTGAGAGTTCATGTTGTGCCTTATCCATGAACGCTGACTGGTTGACTTTGGGCCAGTCACACACTCTCAGCCTAATGCACCTCACAGGGTTCTTGTTGGGAAAATAGGAGGAGGAAGATGCATTGGATATGGTCACCACTTTGAGTTATTTGTACAAATAATAAAATGAGAATAGATAAATAAACATATTTTGATGTTTCCATTCCAAGCCTGATTGAGACTTTTCCAGCACATACTTTTATGTGTTACTTTTACTCACCTCAAGACCAAGCAAGGCAGAGACACAGGCTTCAGAAGCATCACAGATGGCAGTCAGATCATGACCACCTTCTAAAGCTAAGACAACACGCCCATCTGCCAGATCCATCAGTTGTTTGGTCAGATGCCCAAAACCTACATGATCAAAAAAGATATATGAATTAGTGAGTTCTGTGTTAGCTTTTACATTGCTCCTTGCTAGAAATTGAAGAAAGTCATGGATATCTATTATGATGAAAAACAGTATCTTCAACATTTATGAAAATAGTGATCAGGCTACTTGGAACCTGAAAGTAGCTAAATAGTCTTTAAGCCACTACCTGGGACCATCAGGGATCTGTGTTTTTAATAATGCTTGTATGAGATATACATTTCATTTATCTCTACTTCCTTGATCTTTTGATCTCCATGGAAAAATCTGCACTCCAACTATTGTGGCATCATTTAAACCAGTGGTTCTCAACCTTTTTAATGCCGCGACCCCCAACCGGTCGTAAATCAAGGACTACTCAACCGGTCGTAAGTCGAAGACTACTCAATTGGTGCAGCACCGTTTGCAGAATGGGACTTTTGGTGGGCTCAGCAGGGCAGAGACAGCCTGGACAATTCCTATTGGCTTTTGAAAGCCAATAGACTTAGACTCTATTCAAGAGAGTCTATTCTATTGGCTTTCAAAAGCCAATAGAATAAAAGGGAGTAGCACAGCTAAGGAAAAGGGGAAAAAAATGGCGGACTGCGTTGTTTGGCGACCCCCGTGAAATGGTCGTTCGACCCCAAATGGGATCCCGATCCACAGGTTGAGAACCACTGATTTAAACACATGGAGAGACTATAGCTCAGCAACACAGTATACAAGCTTTTCTTGGCACTCCAATTAATAAGGCTGGGAAAAGCATGTCAGAAAAGCTATTACTTGTTAACAGTAAATAGCTGAATTACTATCAATAAGACATTCTCCTATAGTCATACTGGTTTTGAAATTCTAACTTGACAAATGCCTTTTGCTAAGGTTAGGAAACCTATGGAGACACTAGAATCTTAAGCAAACTACTTTAGCTATTTTAGCTCCATAGTGAAAGTTAACTGGGATATTTATTCATATCTTTCCCAACTAATCTGTGAATAGTTTTCCCTATTTATAAACTACATTTATAAAGGGACCCTCCCCCATGTTCCTCACACTCACATTTGGCTGTGACGGAATATCCACCCAACGGGGACAAGTGACCCTCAACAGCATCGAAGCCAGCAGAAACAAGGACCAGATCTGGGGAGAACTCGTGGGCTATAGGCATCACCACAGTCCTGGAGGACACAAAACAGCTCTCAGATTTCTCTTAAGAAGAGGAGGCAGGACAGCATTAATTGGATTAATTGGAATGTATGGATTAAGAAAATTCCAGCCATTTCAGCTTTCCCATCTGAGTCTTTGTAACTTTCTCCAATGCACTTAATTAAAGTGGCCACATATTTGTAGATAAGCATTCCTCAGCTTGGCATCATTTGGAATTTTAACTTCCATAGTGCATTATCAGTCTGGGTTTTGGTCTTGAATGCTAGAAATTAGGAATCAGAGATGAAGAACAATCATGGGCTATTAGAAGGTTTCTCCTAATTGTACTCAACAATTTTTGGAATGGGAACTATGTTAGTCTGCTGAAATAAAACCAACAAGCAAATTTTGTGTCCCTGAAACACCTTTTATAGTATAACATGAGCATAACATGAATAAACCAAAGCTCCACATAAAGTCTTTATGAGGCCTGCAATACCAATAAGCAGAGGTCATCTCAAGCATCAAATGCTAAAAAGTGGCAACAGAACATGGACAGAGAAAGCTGTGGGAAGCCTGTCTTTGTTGCTCTAATGTAGCGATCTTCAAACATAATCGTCCCATTGTCAGAGTTGAAGTGAAAAGGAGAGCCATCTTATTTTTATCCCATTAGGAAAAGTCTTAGACTATCCCAGTTGTTAAGTACCTATGAAAATTTTACCTCCTAGAATTTTGCCACAAAGGAAAAGAGAAAGGAATACATTTGACAGTGTTGACTATTGTCATCATGTATGTAACCTTTACTTTGAAAATGACAAGCCACCCCTTGGCATTTTCCAAGAGAAAAACAATGTTCTGGGCTTACCAAAACATTCCTTGTTGGGCCACGGAGCTTTACGTATTCTTATTTACTGTGGATAGCAAACATACCTGAAGGCTGTCAGATATTCCACATCACCAATAGGAGGATCTACTCCACCAGTCCAGGCAATGTTTACATTGTAACCTACACCCATCCCACTGCCAACCTGGAAGAAAGAAACATGGTGGATAACAAAAGCCCTCAGCCATAGGGTTTGCCATGCTGAGAGCTGTCAAGATATGGGAAGAAAAATATGTAAGAATAAATCCCAATGAGGGGAGCAACATGTTATCAGATTCAAGTGAGGAACAGGATTTCTCTGGAGAATTGCTGATTAATCTCAAAGTATGGCAATGGGTGGGCAGATCGGTATAAATTTGGCTTGGGTAAACGTTACAAGCATTTAAGTATCAAAGAGTTATGGTATATTTTATATAAACTATTTTTTAAAATCATCTAGTGGATAAGGCATTAGGCTGAAAATCAGGAAACTGAGTCCCACCTTAGGTATGGAAGACAGTTGGATGACTTTGGGACAGTTACATTCTCTCAGCCTAACTCATCTCACAAGGATTGTTAGTGTACAAAAATTAAGAGGAGGAAGGAGTATTAGTATGTTCACACTCTGAGTTATTTATAAAAATAATAAAGATAAGAACATCTAAAAGTTTGCAATTCACTCAACTTATTCAAATACATACGTTTTTGTAGTTTCCCAAATTACACTTCGTATGTAATTTTCTCAAATGGTACATCATTTTTAAACATCTAGTTTTTACATAAACAATGTTCTTTCTCTCTCACACTTCATTGTATACAATGTCAGAGATGCTTATTAATTGAGACCAATGTGTCAGTCCCCAAACCAAGAATAACACATAGCGATTCTTTCAAGTTGAGTTATTGTTCCACACATATAGACAAAAATCTTGCCAGACTGAGGACTCTACTAATTCCATCTACATATACTCTGAAAATTATTAGGAAGGGGCTGTATTCTCCTTTCTCTTACATACAACATCCGGACCAAGTTGCCTCTTACTCTTCTGGAATTCCCTCCTGGAATTCCATCTTTTTAGTATATTCCATCTTCATGAATTATGTTTATGTTGTGACCAATTCAATTTGGAAAGAGCATCCCCATTTTTTGCGTGTAAAGAAATGCATGGTAGATCTATTTCCTATTAATATTTGTTCTGGAAATACAACCCAATCAGTGGCAAACTGCCAGCCATTTTTCTTTCCAAGCTTCACATGGAGTACAAAAGTTCTGCCCATATAAAGTGGCATCTTCATAACAAGGGATAAATCAATGACTTTGTTCTCTTTTTTTGGATTCAAAGCTTCTACTGGACAAGCCTCTTATTTTTTTTCTGCAATTCCTCTATTTACTACAAAGCCATATAGTATGAATAGAGGAGGCTTGCCTTGAATTTTTTTCAATACTTATCTACTTCTTTTTACACCCTGCTTTTTTCCTTCTTGTGTTTTTCTCCACTGAAGCAAACAATTGGAACCCAGTTCAAGGTGTTTTATTTCTCTGCTCATATTTCTGAAATATTTTGGGATTAAAAATATTTCAGTTTTTTAATCTAGACTCCAAGCTTGTTCCAGCTTTAACATCTCTTGTTATACAAATCAGATTAAAAAATTAAAGGAATACACATACCTCTTCAGGAGCACCACTGCCTGGGAAGAAATTTCCATTATCGTAGCGATGAAGGGAAATGTATAGAACACTGGGGTCGCTGTAGAATGCCTGCTGGGTTCCATTGCCATGATGGATATCCTATCAAGATGAGTAGAATTTAAATAGAAGAATCAGCTGGGATCTGTACCATGATACACACAGGCAGCAAGACACAGCTCTCTTTAATTATATTGATGGACATTAAATTTTTAAAAATATATTGTAAGCTCATGAAATCATTAAATCTCATGAGATGTTAGTGTTTTCACATAATTTGCAAAAGTTTAGACATAAATGCCAACATTTCACAGGAGATTAATATTTCCACACAAGATTCTGATGTTCTCAAAGAAGTGTGTGCTACATATTAGGTTCTATGACATCTCTTCTCTTAAAATAACAGCCTGATAAATCTGAGCATCTGAAAAAGTTGCTGATGCTACCTTATCTAAGATAAAACCCAAGTCAGAATAGAGATAATGTTCAAAGATGACATTAAAAGTTGATATGGAAAGAGTTTCAGAAGAAATCCATGAGATAGGACAAAGAGCTTAAAGAAAAATCTTATTGTTCCATTAAAGATGGTACCATTGATAGCAGCCTCAGTGGAATGCTCTCCAGTAGTTCTGATGTTTTCTTTTATTTTCTGTGACTTTCTGTGAATTTCATATCAAGAGATCAGATTTTGAATATCAGACAGTGGACTTTAAATAACAAGAAGCTTTCTGGGTCTGTTCCTCCCTTTTCAAGTGTGGAAGAAATTCTAACTGAGGAAATGGTAGTTATCTCTCTTGGCAAGGTAGTTAGAAAGAGACAGAAGAGAAACAAAAGAAGGAGAAGGGAGGGGCAAGTAAGGAGGCATTTTACAAAGACTCAGAAAGCATGGGGTAAAAAAATCTCTGCTCTCCTCACTATATTTAACTAATCTTTGCTCACTTGTAAATAAGATAGATGAACTGCACCAACTCAGCAGCCCTCTGCTTCATTGAAATGTGGCTGGATGATTCAATTAATGATAGGTGCTTGCAAACCCCAGGATTTCAGATTCAGATAGAAGTGCAAAAATATCTGGCAAAAAGACAGGTGGAGGTATCTTCTTTTATATTAACAACTGATGGTGTAAAAATGTCACTATACTAAAAAATTTTGTGATGTGGACTTAGAAACACTATTCATCATTTGCATACCCTATTATTCCCCTTAAGAGTTTTCTTCATTCACTCTAGTTGGTGTCTACATACCACCTCAAGCTTGCATAATCAAGGTATTGCAGATCTTAACTGACCAAATCCTGTGGGATGAACAGCTATCCAGACTCCCTACTCAATGTATTAGGAGATTTTAACAATGCTAACCTAAGCCATTGGCTGCCCAGATACATTCAGCATGTCAACTCTCTCACAAGAGGCAATAATATTTTAGACCATTGCTATTCTACAATAAAAGCTCTCTACCAAGAGCTCTCTACCAAAAGTGACTCTGGGACACTCTGATCACTGTATGATTCACCTTGTACCTGTTTATAGACAAAGACTTAAAATCATAAAACCAATAGTTAAACTGTGATATCTTGGATTGAAGAGGCAAGGTTAAACCTACCAGCTTGCCTCGACTGCATAGACTGGAGTGTTTTGAAGCTGCCTCAGTGGACTTGGATGAACTCACTGACACTGTGACATCATACGTTAGCTTTTATGAGGACTTATGTGTGCCGACCGAAACCGTACGCATCTACAGTAATAATAAACCTTGGTTCACAGCTAAGTATAAACATCTATGCCATGCCAAAGAGGAAGCCTACAGGAAAGGAGATAGAATGCTGTACAATCAGGCCAGGAATGTATTAACAAGGGAGATCAGGGCAGCAAAGAGAAGCTACTCTGAAAAGCTGAAGAATCGGCTCTCCACAACTGAACCAGCAAATGTGTGGAAAAGCCTGAAAAATATCACTGGCTACAGCAGACCTCTCTCAGTTGCAGAAGAGAATTGGAAACTGGCATATGACCTGAATATGTTCTACTGTAGGCTTGAGAGGAGACCACTATCAACTATCATTACTCTCTCCATCTCAGATACATCAACAACATCTAAGTCTCCTACACCCAACTCCATCCCTCTGGGCCCCCCACCTCTGATGATTACCAAAGTTGTGCAAGGTCTATTTCACAAACAAAAAGGTGGGAAAGCACCAGGTCCAGACAGGGTAACTCCCTCTTGCTTGAAAGTCTGATCAACTGGCCCCAATCTTTACCTGCATTTTTAATAAGGAGATGTATTATCTCCCTTCCTGTTTCATACACTTTATTATCATTCTGATGCCCAAAAAATCCTCTATCAAAGAACTGAATGACTACAGATTGGTGGCTCTGACATCCAAGGTTATGAAAACCTTTGAAAGGTTAGTGTTGGCCCATCTGAAAGCCATCACAGATGTGCTTCTAGGCCCCTTGCAATTTGCCTACTGCGCAAATAGATCGGCAGATCATGCTGTCAATATGGCACTGCACTACATCTTACCACATCTTGAATCCCCGAAGAACTATGTAAGAATCCTTTTTGTAGATTTCACATCAGCATTCAACACCATCATTCCTCTCTCTAAATTGACTCATCTAGCTGTGCCTGACCCCACTTGTAAATGAACTATAGGCTTTTTAATGAATAGGAAGCAGCAGATGAAGCTAGGGAAAAATCACATCAAACACCCGGTTCAATTAGCACAGAAGCCCCCAGGTTGTGTACTCTCTCCATTACTCTTTTCTATATATATATATATATATATATATATATATATATATATATATATATATATATATATATATATATATATATATATATAATATATATATATATATATATATATATATATATATATATATAATATATATATACACCAATGACTGCATCTTGAAAGATCCTTCTGTTAAAATACTGAAGTTTGCAGATGATACAACAGTCACTGGTCTCATGCAGACAATGATAAGTCTGCATATAGACAAGAGTTGGATCAACCGGCCCTGTGGTACAGCCAGAACTATCTGGAGCTGAACATTCCTAAAACTGTAGAGATGACAATAGATTTTAGAAGAAGCTCTCCTATTCTATAACCTCTTACAATATTAGACAACACGGTATCAAAAGTAGACACATTCAAGTTTCTAGATTCTATTATTTCCAAGGACTTGAAATGATCACCAAACATTAGAACCATCATTAAAAAGGCACAACATTTCTCACCTTTTCTCATCTTTCCTACTATCTTCTCCTATTGGTTTATGATTTATCAATTGTTTTAAACTTATGATTAATGATTGTAATATGATTATGACCTGTAACCTAAGAGAGTAAGTGATCATTGGAGTAGGAAAAAAAAGCCTTACCCAATCCACAATGAGGATTTTACTGATGGCAAGCTTTTGTTGTAGAAGCTTAGCAGCAATGGCAATAGAGTTGAAGAAGCAGAAGCCCCTAAACAAAATGAAAAGGATGGCATTATTGGGCTAAGATAGATGAGCAGCATAAGAACTGATATATTCTACCAGAATAGGGCCTCCCTAAGCCCAACTTTCTCCATTACAGCAGGTAGCCAGATATCATGAAGGATATGCTCATTGGTAGAGCATCTAAGTGATTCTAACAGGTACTAGATTGAGTAACTCACCTCTCCAATTAGCACTAGGATAAAGCCTTGCCTAAAACCCTCGACTGCTCCTGCCACTAAATGGTGCCATGCCTTATTTGACCCTTAAAAATGCTACTTATAGTAACAGGTACCACAGTATGCTATGGAAAAGAATTTTCTAATCTTATCACCTTTTATACATCCATTTTCTAAACGTATTTGGGGGTATGGATGTCTAAGTAAAGTAAGTTTTTCAATAACATATCAAATATGCAGTACAACTCAAGAAAAAGAGATGGAATTTCATTTGAGAAGATGGCACATAAAATGGCTTTTTAAAAAATGCACCTTTACTTATTCCACTTTCCCAAAAGAATTTATTTTAGAAAATGTAAAATTTTTAATTTTGCAGTAGTTAAATGTAGTAGATATTTTTCCCTCAATTTATAGCATATACTTACATGGCAGTAGACTCTTCTGCATGGTGACCTGGTGGTCGGATGACAGCATATCCATTCTAAGGATGAAAAAGTCATGTATCTTTAATAATATGTTCATTACATTATGATTAGCAAAACCACTTTTAATGCACTTTCTGTCAATGGATTTAAAGAAGAATTTACCTTAAGTTCCCCTGATGCCACTTTAAAGGCCAGCTCCAGCAAACAGCCAACAGCCATGCGGACTGCACTGGATGAATGCATTTCATTCCATACTGTGTCACTGTCAACCTGCAGTGAAAGTTTATCATAGATCACAGGAGTTGCAGAAGTTAAAGAGTAAAGCCATCCAAGCTGGCCTGATCATTTCCTTCTTTGATTTCCATCTTGCTTTTAGTTTAGAAATTCATACACAATACTTATTCCTTCTATTTTTTCCACAACAACAACAACAACAATACTGCAAGGGTTGGGGTTAGAAGAGTGATTGGATAAGTCATCCAATGAGTTTCTGTGGCTGAGCATGTACAAGAATCAAGATTTCCTCATTTCTAGGCCAGCAGTTTAACCACTACTTCATACTTGGTCCCGTAGATTTTGTCCTATCTATGAAAGGCTTTAGGAGATGAGGGAAGTAACCACTTGCTATTTGATAAGTAATAGGAATGGTGTTGTAATGAGAGGACTTGTGCGTGGACAGTCCTTTGTGGGCTTTCCTTCCTATGCAAACAAGCTGCCCAGAGTTACCTTGAGGTAAGAAGGGCGGCCTATAATTTTGGAAATAAAACAAAAATAAAACTGCTAGAGGAAGTAAAATGGAGCACAGACAGAATTCAGGAAAGTGACAAAGATACATCCTTTCCACCAGGCTTCTAAATTGCTAACAAGAGTCCCTGCGGATTTTACTCAGCTAGTTCTTGCCGACTATAGAGGGTAGTGCTCATCTCCGTTTCAAGGTCATTGAGCCAGCGCTGTTAGAAGACATTTCTTTTTTTTAAATTTTTTTTTATTTATCCCTTTTTCACTTTACAACAAAAATAAAAATGAAAAATACATTTTTTTCTTAACAGTACTGTATTATACATCTCATATATATTATTTACAATTTATTTACATTAGTAATCATGTCTTTTTATTTCTCTGGTCTAGCCAGTCATAACATTTGTTCCATATTTCATAACATTCTGTTGCCTCCTTGTCTTTTAATTCTAGTGTAAGTTTATTCATTTCCGTGCATTCTAGAATTTTGTTTATAATCATATCGTTTGTAGGTATGTTTTCACCCTTCCAACACTGGGCATATACTATGCAGGCTGCTGTTAATATATGTATAACAATGTATTGGAGTTGTTTTTTCATCTTTAAGTTTATTATACCCAAAAGAAATAGTTCAGGTTTGAGTTCAATTTGCACATTAGTTATCTCCTGTATCCAGTTCCTTATCTGTTCCCAATAGGTCATTGCTTTAGGGCATAACCACCACATGTGATAGAATGTTCCCTCCTTATTTTTACATTTCCATTCCGGATTCATATTTTTATACATTTTAGCCAATCTCGCTGGTGTTAAATGCCATCTATAGAACATTTTATATTGATTTTCCCTATATGAAGTTGACAATGTCAGTTTACAATTTCTGTTCCATAATCTTTCCCATTCTTCCAGATTTATATTTTGGCCCACATTTCATGCCCATGCTATCATTGGCTCTTTCACTATTTCTTCTTCCAAATCTACCTCTAATAAATATTTATAAGTTTTTGTTAAAAATTTTCCTTCCTTACCTATTAAAATTTTATCCAATTGGTACGGGGTCTGGTTTATTCCGTGCTCTTCCATATCCTTACTCTGTTTAGATTGGATCTGTAAGTATGGCCACCAATCTATGATTATTCCTTGTTCTTCTAATTCTTCTCTTGATTTGAGCTTTCCTTGGTTATCTAATAATTCTTTGTATCTAATCATCTTTTTTTTATCCAAGGTGTTAGGGTGGATCATTGCCTCCATCGGTGAAATCCAATTTGGGATTTTCCTATAGTGTCTTTTTTTAACTTTTTCCCCATGTCTGAATCAACGCATCTTTTATCTGATGTTGATAAAAATATGTGTGTGTTTTCTTGTGTTTTCCCCATAAAAAGGCATGCCAGCCAGCCTGTAGGTCATGCCCTACAATCATTAAAACCTTTTATTGTCTAGGTTTATCCAATCCTTGATCCAGAGTAGTCCAGCTGCTTGGTAGTAAATTTCCCATTTTGGGAGCCCAAGTCCACCTCTACTTCTATTATCCTGTAACATTTTCATGTTTATCCATGTTTTTTTGCCCAACCAAATAAATTTGTTTATTATTTTGTCCAATTCTTTAAAAAAAAAAATTCTCTAATTTTATCGGGACTGTTTGGAATAAATATAATAGTTTTGGTAATGTATTCATTTTAATCGCAATCCTACCTAATAATGATAATTGTAATTTCTCCCAGGCCTCAAAAACTTTTTTCATTTGTAATATCAATTTTTTATAGTTATCCTCTTTTATTGAGGAACACCTTGTGGTAAGCCAGATTCCTAGATATTTAATCTTTTTTACAATTTGCAATTCTAGATTCTCTTCTAATTTTCTTTTCTGTTTTTCAGTTAGGTTTTTAACTAACATTTTGGTCTTTTCTCTATTAATTTTTAATCCTGCCACTATTCCGTATTTTTCTATTTCGTTCATCAAAATATTTCCTCTCTCTAGTTGTTCCTCAATAAAAAAGACCAAATTATCCGCCTGTGTCTTATATTCTTCTGTCTTAACCTGTACCCCCTTTATCTCTTTATCAGTTCTAATTTGAGTTAATAGCACTTCTAAGGTCAAAATAAAAAGTAGAGGTGACATTGGATATCCCTGTCTTACTCCTTTATTTATTTTAAAGCTTTTTGTATTATCTCCATTGATTATCACGCTGGCCTTTTGTGTTTTATATATTGCCTTTATCATGTTCTCAAATTGCCCTCCAAATTTAGCGTCCTCAATCTGTTGGAACATAAATTGCCAACTGAGATTATCAAATGCTTTCTGAGCATCTAAAAAAATTAGTGCTACCTGTTTTCCAAGGTATGCTTTGTAATATTCTAAGACATTTAATACCGTTCTTGTATTATTCCTAATTTGTCTTGTGGGTAAAAAACCATTTTGATCTGGGTGTATTATATCCTGTAATATTAGTTTCAATCTTTCTGCAATTACGGTGGCAAACATTTTATAATCAGTGTTCAACAACGAGATTGGCCTATAATTTTTGATCTGTTTGATCTGTGCCTTCTTTTGGGATAAGGGATTATAGTGGCTTCTATCTAGGAGTCTGGTAATTTGGCTTTCTCCAACACATCATTATACACATCCAGTAGTATCTTTTCAAAGTCCTCGTAAAGCGTCTTGTATACTTCCCCTGGAAGGCCATCTGGCCCAGGGGTTTTATTATTTTTTTATTTTTGTACCGCAGTTTTTAATTCCAAGGCTGTTATTTTCCCATTCAATATTTCTCTCTGTCCTTCTTTTAATTCTGGCAAACCATTAGCCTTTAAGTATTGTTTTATACTCTCCACATCTATTTCCTCTTTTTTATATAGTGACTCAAAATAATTCTGAATTATTTCTTTCTTTTTATCCATTTTGTATTGTGACCATTTATCGTATAGTTCCTGAATAAATCTTTTCTCTTTCTCTTTTTTAAATTTATAAGAGAGCCATCTCCCAGGCTTATTTGCATGTTCAAAAAAATTTTGTTTTGCTATTTTCAATTCTTTTGTTCTTTCCTCTTGATCTATCATGTTTAATTTATGTTTAGCCAAGACCATTTCCGTTTTAATCGATTCATCCTGGGGCTCTTTTTGTAATTTAGATTCCAATTTTTTAATCTCTTCCTGGAGTATATTTTGCGTTTGCCTTTTCACCTTATTTTTTCTTGCTATATAGGCTATTGCTAAGCCTCTTAAATATGCTTTCGCAGTGTCCCAAATAATTTGTACTGTTGATTGTTGTTTAGTATTCTCTTTTTTAAAAAAATTCCATTTCTCTTCTAATCCTTACTATAAATTCTTTTTCTTTCAAAATGTGAGAGTTCATTATCCATCTTTTTCTTACTTTTTTCTGCCCTTTCCAAACTATTTTCAGAGGGTTATGATTGGCCCATATATTTGGCATTATTTCTATTGTCTCTATGTCTTGCCCTACTTCTTCATTCATCCATGCCATGTCTATTCGAGACCAAGACTTATGTGGGTTCGAGAAAAATGTATATTCATTTTTTTTATTCCGTTTCCTCCACTGATCAGATAGTTTAAATTCATGTGCCAAATCAAAGAATGTCCTTGGTAGTGTTTTCCTTTTCTTTTTCATATCACTAATATAGTCTTTTTTTACATCCACTACCGCATTATAATCTCCTACTATACAAATATTTCTCTGTCCAATTTCTATAAGTTTCTCATGTAATTTGTAATAAAATTCTTTTTGATTCTCCTTTGGTGCATATATTACCGCTAGCAGCCATGATTTCGGTTCAGTTTGTAATTCTATTGCTAATATTCTTCCATTTGTATCTTGGTATTTCAATTTAGCATTAATTTCTTTTCTGATATAAACCGCTATTCTTCTCTGTTTTTGTTCAGCTAGTGCTGATTACAATACTCCTAATTTGGGGAATTCCAAATATTTCCTGTGCTGTTCTTTGATGTGTATCCCTTGTAAACAAACTATGTCTATATGCTGTTTTGCTAATTTTGTTAGTATTTGTTTTCTCTTTGCGGGTGCATTTAATCCATTTATATTAATAGATATTAGTCTAATCTCCTTTTCTATTTTCTACTTGTGTGTTCTATTTGTGTGTTTGTCTTGTTCTTGGACCTACTCCTCTTTCTTTCCTCTCTCCCTTTTCTTCCATGCTTTCTATCCCTCGTTCTATTTCCCTTACTTCCTGCTGTTGGTCTTCCTGGCTTTTGGATTCCAATTCTTCCTTGCTGCTATTCTCTTCCTCCACTCCTTCCAATTGTTCATAGAATTCTCGTGCTTTCTCTAGACTGTCTATCTTAATCCTTCTCTCCCTCCATGATATCAACATCCCCTCCGGGATTAACCATCTGAATGGTATGCTTCTTTTGATTAAATATGCACTAAGGAATCTATAATCTCTTCTCTGTTCTCTTATCTTCTTTGGTACCTGTTTTAGAGTCTGTATTTCCATACCTTTATAAATCATTGGATCCTCTCTTGTAATTTTGTAGATTATATCTCTCACTTTTTTCCTAGCAAATCTAATATGTATTTCTCGTGGAAGTCTGTTACGTCTGGTATAATTTGTATGAATTCTGTACGCCTCATCTATCTCTATCAATATCTCTTGTTTGTCCCTTTGTAGGGCCTCGGCAATCAAATCCACCATGATAGCACCCAAGTCCTCTTCCTTCTCCTCTACCACATTTTGAAATCATAGATAGAATGCCGCCCTATCCATTTCTAGATAGATGATTGATTCCTCCATTTTTTATTAGTTGCCATCATTTCTGTATCTAATGTATCAACTTTTCCCCTACTTTATCCAACCCTTCTTCTACTGTCTGAATTCTTGCTTCATTTTTCTCAATTGTTTGTTGAATCATCTCAATTCTATTATCCAATTTATTCATATCCCCTCTCATTTCTACGTGATTCTTAGATATTGTCTCCTGAATTTTTAGCATTGTTTCTTCGATAGTAAGAAGTGTTGTCTGCATGGTCTGCATATTAACTATTACACTCTGTTTTTCTGTACCAAACATTCCTTCTAGTATTCTTTGACCAGGTGGGGATGAGGGTGTCAGTGCTAGGCTTGACACTGTTTTTTTTCCTGTCCTCAGTGTTGTCATAGTTATCACTTATTTCTCTCATATTTTCTATTTCTGAATGTCACTCTATTTACCCAACAGCTTTTTAAACTTTATTTTGACTCTAAACTTCTAATCCTTCGTTTCCCTTCCTCAACTCCTCTGAAACTACCTCCACTGCCACAATTCCCTAAATCTCTCCTTACTTTCTCCAACCCTCTTCACTTTCTTTCCTCTTTCACACAATTTGTCTAAAAATCCAAATTACTTCTCCAATTGTATATTATCATTCTTATCTCTTTATCCCATCCTCTCGTTGTCTCCTTTGCCTTCCAAGCCTCGTCCACGTTCCTGTCACTTCCAATGTCGTGCCCCGTCCTCTCGTCCCCTTCCCTTCCTCTCGCACTCAACGTATCCCCCCTTTCAATCCTATTCACTTTCTCTCGCCTCTCTTAACTGAAGACACTGTCCCTATTAAGCTCCGGATTTTCCTTCCGATCTCATCACTCCTGCCGTCAGTCTGTTCCTTTCGCTTTCAACTCCTCTCTCACCTCTCTTAACTGAAGACACTGTCCCTGTTAAGCTCCGGATTTTCCTTCCGAACTTGTCTTTCCCACCGTCAATCCGTTCCTTTCGCTTTCGTTTCCTCTCTCACCTCTCTTAACTGAAGACACTGTCCCTGTTAAGCTCCGGATTTTCCTTCCAATCTCGTCTCTCCGTCAATCTGTTCTTTTCACCTTCGTCTCCTGTCGCGTCCTCTCGCCATCTCTTTCACCTTCCGGAGTTTTACTATGCACCACTCTCTTTCGCACTTAAACACGTACTCTCATCGTCTCCTTGGCTTTTTGAATCCTCTCCACGTTCAGGTCTGTCTCCAACTTTCTTCTCCAACCACTTTCTCCAAAAGCCTCTAATGCTCCACAACGTATTCACTCCTCCATTTCTCCTAAATTGCCATTTTCTTTTCCTCCCCAGTTGTTTGCCTATCAATCTTCTCCCTTCACTTCTCTCGTCTCATAGGCTCCACGAACTCTGCCTTCGCCACCGTCTCTCAGCCTTTTCTTCCTTAATCCTCCACCGTCTTCCTCGTATTTGCACTCCAACGTTTACCATAAGGTCTTTCCTTCCTTTATGTCTCCCTCCTGTTAATCCTCTGGTTGTTAAATCTGTCAACTCATGGCTCTTCCCGCCGGGTCGTCACTTGCATTGAGGATTCCCTCACCAGTTGAGCTTCCTTTCAACATCCACACTAACAGACACATAGATCTTTTTAGACTTTTCAATTATTCCTTAGAGATATTTTGAACTATTTTGACTCACTCATTAACACATTCTGTTAAGTTTCTCTTTTCTTCCGCATCCTCTGTGATTTTGTCAGGGCCTCAGATCCGCCATCTGTTGATGGCAGAAATTTCCACACTGGATTTAGGGGGTTTCTTTCCTCATAACAGGTGGTCGCCTCTCACCTTGTTACTCTACCGGCTTCACCCTTTCTCACATGTAGCCCTCCAGGCTCTCTACACCCCCGAAGGGTCTCCAATCGTAGAAAGATCAGAGTTAGGGGACAGAGACTGTCCTCTTGCCTCCACACCGCCCTGACGTCACCACCGGGAGTCTGTTTGAAGACATTTCTGCAGTCGTGGCCAGCATGACATCACAGAGCACTGTAGCAGTATCCATTTATCTACTTGCATTTGCATGCTTTCAAACTTTAGGTTGGCCTGAACTGGGGTGAGGATGGGACCTCACCCTGTCGTGTGGCTGAGCCACCGCATTGCTCCAGATTGTTAATAAAATTGATTTAATGATATTGATGTTTAATTTTACTCTAATTTTAACATTCTTTTTATTTTCATGTTTTATAATTTGTACTTTAGCTGCCTTGAGTGCTGTATGGATAAAAAAACAGGATATATATTCCATTAAAAAATGAAAATAAATGAAAGATGCAGCTGAGGCCTCATTCATCACTTTATCTATTCCTTGCAGGCAATAGATAATTGCTATATAGGATTCTTGTGGGTATTCAATAGCATGTAGAATGAAGATAAGAAGCAACAACCCCAAAAGGAATGATTTTAAAGCCATTTCGGTACAATTCAAGGACACATGAAAAGATCAAGAAAATGCAATTAAAATATAACATAAAGAACCATCTTATATCAAACTCAATCTTTTGTCCTCTGGGTTTCATATTGGAGCTCTACAGGCTTTGAGGCAGGGTCATGCTCCATCACAGATGAAAACTACATCTGGTTGCTATTAACATGAAGCCTGATTCACAGAAATTAAATAAATGACACAGCAGAAATGAAGTTTTAAGCTGGAATATGGGAGGCTTTCATTTCACTCACCCCAATTCCACCACACGGGAGGACAGCATACATTTTCTGACTAAGGGGGCCTTAGAGGAGAAACAAAGAAGAGGAAAGGGTATAAATGCCACATTTCATATACCAGTTACACTGTACTTAATTCATTTTCCTTACATTTTTCATGTCTATTTTACTACCATGGAAAGAACAAAATTATAATCTTCATGAATACAGGATTCAATTGGGCAACTTTACATTCCATTACTTCTTTTTAAATTGCCTACAGTGGGTTATAAGTCAATTTAATAGCCCACAATTTTGAAAAAGCATAAGCTCTAAAATAGCTAAACAGGCATAGATCAAATAGCCCCTTCCCTCAAATAATCTAACTTCCTCTAAAAAATGGGACTCTTCCCATTATGTGCAAATGCTCACTTAGTTTTGTATCATCACTGCCTCACTCATTCCATCTCCCAATTCAGGAAATACAGTCCCCTGCCATACAATGTTTTCCCATCTGATAACAGAAGTTTAAAGACAGACTTTGCCAGGTATAACCATACATGTTATGCCTTTACCATATACATAGATAAAGCAAAATTCTGTATATTCTGCGATTTTTGGAAGGGGGAGCAACATTCTGCATTATGAAAATAGAATTGCATAAAGTCCTAGACATTCTACCTAGTAATTTCTTGTTGTCAAGTTTTTGCCTGTTCAAGGGACTTGTTCCATATAGTAATGTGTGATGTTCTGAATGGACAGCCTGGATTTCATCCAATGTTGCCTTCCGGCCTCGGATTCTCTAAGTAACAAAAAAACAGGTGAAGATATTAGACAGAAAATTTGAAATATGGACTTTGAAAGTTACATTTACCAACACAGATGTCTTGTCCATGTTTTGGTAGTAAGGTTTATTCATTTAATATTATTTTCAAGCTAAATATCTAAATTTGGTTTAACAATTAAGCTTTTCTCCATTCCAGCCTTTCCAATAATTCATTTCAGGTTAAGAATTGTGGACATTTCTTCAACTGTCCCTCTTTACCATTTGAGCATTCATGAATGGCTTAGGGCCCATGTCAACATTGCAATCAAAATTCATATGCTCTTCAAAGACTAAATCAAGGATCACTTTAATAATGTTCAATATTAAATGATTTTATAGAAAAATGAATTTGTTGTTCTGGCTTCAGAACAAAGGGTTCCTTTTCAGGCTGCTTTTCTATTCTGGTCAAGCTTTGTTTTTTGAGTAGGACCCATGGCATAGCACACATATACAATGGTCCCTCCAGGCAAAAGCAATGCCAGCCCTGTAATTTAATTTCCTTTGTGCCCCATTAGGCTTTCTCTGAAATATTTGCAAGAAACCTTCCCCTGACAAGTGCTTTGATAGTGGCATGATCCTTGGGATATTTCTCCACAATGCTGTAAGATCGTTCACATTACCTTGCATTAAGTCAGATCACTGGTCCATTTGCCAAAGTACAACTTTTTGACTGCCAGCAGCCAAACCGTCAGGAAAAGGTATTTTCATTCCTCATTATCAGAGATATTTTCATCTCTCATTATTAGAGCTCATTACCATCTCTCTAAAATCTGCATGGAAAGAATTCATTTGCCACTAAGCCTGCCTTCCTTAATCTCAGCATCTTTAATTCGCGTGGTCATCAACTTCCAGAATAGCCCAGGTTGCATGTAATTTCTACTTGCTGAGAATTCTGGGAATTGAAGTCAGCACATCTGGGAAGTTGCCAGATTGGGGATGGCTGTAGTTGTAGCTGAATCTAAGTTTCCTAGATACATGTGTGAGTTAACAATGAAAGCAAAGGTGAATTCAAGAAAGAAAATACATATGCAAGTCTCTAGAAAGCAAATGACCTTATCAGTTAATAAAATCAGTTTAGTGTCTCATTTTCCTTGTTTATTGTTCTTTCTCTGAAAAAATCTTCTTTAAAAAAAGGTCCAAAGAATTTGACAGAGCCTACAGTTTTATTCTTTTGCCTTTTTTTAGAATGAAGCTAGAAGGATTATTGAAAAACGTTGTAACTAACGAAACAGCTATATATATGTACCAAAGTTCAATGTCAATTCACATCGAAGTAGCAGCTATCTTTGGAATCTCATATTTTAGAAATTTCCCCCCAATCCCTAACCTGATCCTTCAGGTCTTCCAATAATCAAATGTATCCATCTTCCTGATGCTTGTCCTCTTCTTGCCTTTCCTTCCACTTGGCCATTTGTATCTCAAGTGAGAACCCTACATTTATTTTTCAATGATCCATTTGTTAGCTGTCCATGGAATACTGCTCATTTTTTTCCAACACCAAAGTTTAAAAATGTCAATGCTCTTCCTATCTTGCTTTTTCAAAATCCAACTTTCGTTTCCATAAAGTATCACCGGGAATACCATGGCTTGCATGATTCTGATTGATTAAAGATCTATGTGTCTAGTACAATGCTGATGTGAATTAGTACATTAGGCCTTCTGATTAGATTTATATCAAAACATATAACAGCTGATCATGTTTGATACAAAAATTATAACAAAACTTCAAAACAATCTTGTATTTTTGACTAATCATTTCATAGCACTGGATTTCACCTACTTTCTGCTGAGAGAGTTCAATGACCTGGTATTCAAATACATTTTTACTACCCTTCCCCGCCCTCTAATTTTAAGCATGGGAAGAAAATAAATGAACAAAAGACTCACCCTCACAGCTAAATTTGCAGATGTGGCAGATATCGAGAGACTGCATAGATGCTTTCCCCAGGAAGGTTCAGTACATAATTGATGATCAGCCCCGGGGGGAGGGGGGGTCAATACTTTTATAAAGTCAATACACGTTCCTGCATGAAAAATGTAACAAAGTAACCTATAGTACTTGAAAATTAATGGAAGAGCAATGAGGAAAGATGTATATGGTACTGTTTTTCATGCAGGAACATGAGCTTTCAATTTGTACATGGACTATTTGTTTTCATGCTAGGTATCAAGAGTGTTGACATCCCCAGGAATGGACTGACCTTGCTGGGGAAATTCTGACTCTATGAAATCTCAAAGTATTACAGATTATGATAGAGAAATCTGAGATCTTGTATGTGTTTGCTGAAGCAAAAATTCCAGCAGTTCAAAGTGGCTAGGGCTGCTGGGACTTGTAGTACAGTAACATGTAATTGGAGTAGCTTTTGTTTTCAGAGTTCCACTGCAGTTATTTTCTTTTGTGATGGAAATACAGACCGAAGGCTATGCTTTATGTATCTTTCTTTGTTTTTAAAATCCTCTTCTCTGTGGATTGTTTCCAAAACAAATAAGATGTAGCAAAATTGGATATTCTTGCAGCAATTTAAAGATTAGCAAATTTATTAGGACTTGGGAACAGAATAAAAACTATCACGTGCCTGATGCTGTGGACTCATCTATTTTGTATTTCTTATTTTTTATGATGCCACAAAGCTTGGATATTCCAGGATGGGGCCCTTCCTCCACTGTAAAATCATTTCTCCAAGTGAGCTATTTTTTTTTTTTTAATGTGACTTTGGAAGCTGTCTTACCAGCTGCTGGCAAAAAAAGTTGCACTCTGAGATTTCTTACCTCACACTTGGTTAGCAATCCTGTCTCTTGTAGTCTGGACCAAATACTCTGTATCCTCCCAGCATGTTCTGGGTGAACATTAGTGTTTCCACATGTACACTGGTGCTTCAGCATGAATGTGTCATAAACAACACCTATGAGAAGGTGGTAAAAACGCACAGAAGGAAGGAGGAAAAAAATAAAAAGCAACCAAACTCCTGCCCAGGTAGAATATTGGGATTCTGATGGCATGCTAAAGACACTATTGTATCACAAAATTATTATCACCATGGATGTGTTCAGTTATAAAGCAATAGTTTACTAGAAGACAAACTCCTAAGATCGCTTCAGTAAACCAGCATGGCTTCTTCTATCCTGATCTCTCTCTCTCTCTCTCTCTCTCTCTCTCTCTCTCTCTCTCTCTCTCTCTCTCTCTCTCTCTCTCTCTCTCTCTCTCTCTCTTTTTGTGCAGTGACTTACCACTCTTTCTAAACAAAGCAGGAGCTTGTGGCTACCACATTATTTTTATTTGTTAAGAATACCTGAGGTTGATGAGGTTCTCAGATACATTCTTATACATTAGAATACATAATCTACCACTGAGCCCCCATCCTGGCCATACTGTCTTCAAAGACTACAGCCAAATGCAACAAAAGAGAAAATAATAAAATATATAAGGAGAGAGATCTAATGCAAATTTAAATTATATCTAGTTTTTTTCCACTAACCCTGCCTATTCAAATGGCATATAGCAGCCAGCAAACCACTTTTTTTCTCTGTGCTTTTAAGTCAGTCTTGACTCATGGATTAACTCTAAAGTTTTTCTGAAAAGATTTCAGAAATTGTTTGCCATTGTCTTGCTAGGGCTGAGAGAAAGTATCTGGCTTTGTACCTAAAGCAGGACCAGAACTCAAGATCTCTCAGTTTTACATTGATACCTTAACTACTATACCAAACAGGCTCTCCAACAAACCACAAAGGACCCTAAAATTGAAAAAAATAATGCATTAATTAAAAGTATCTAAAAAGCATTTGCATTAGCTAATCTGATAACCTGGCAAAGTGAAGGAATCACATGATTTCCAAATATTCACTGGCTTTTACTGAAGGTGCTATTTTTAAAGTCTTTTAAAATTTAAGGCTTAAGCTCTGAGTATCTGAGGGACTGCCCCTCCAGTTATGAACCTCTCCAGTCATTAAGATTTGCAGAAGCCTCCCTTATCAGAAGCCTGCATATCTGGCATGGGAAAGAGCATTGCATTGTTTCTAGCTTGGAATACATTCCCCTATGAGTTACATTTTGGCCGATATTTTGGCAACTTTTAAGAAAAATTGTAGAGACTAATTTTTTTCTACATTGTTTTGATACTGGTTAATATCTAATTTTATATAAGTTTTAACATTTTGTGATTGACAGAAGTCTTAAATCCTCATCAAGTACAATAAACCAATAATAAAACAAATCCAGTTAAAACCACCAAACTGGCAATCTTCTCTCAATGAACCAAACTGATTTAAATTCAAGATATTATCCTGTTGTGCCCTAAAGTAAAGAATAAAGCAGAGACACTATTTAGTTCTTGGACACTAGGGACTGGATGTGATAATAAAGGAGAACTTACGCAGAATCCCCTGCATATCTGAGAAAGAAATTTTCAGGGTAGGAGATGCAGTTTCTAAGTAGCTTGTTCATGCCCAGCAAGACAATGATCTCACTGTCTTCCAAGCTTCAGGAAATAAAGTCCTTCACCTACCTGTAGTGAAAAGGTGATGGACCAAAGGCTCAGGTGTACTGTTCTTCAGGCTAGTGCTAGCAGGTGAAGACTGGGTACGGCTAAGGGCTTGATGGGGTATAGTACTTATGCTCAGGGGAGTTTGATAGAGCTGCAGAGATCTTAGCTGATGTGCATCAGCAAATACCTATACATTTCAGAGGAATAGTAGCCAGAGAGAAAAAAAAAAAAGACAGATCAAAAGATCTACTATTTCAATATTTCATCAGTTTTAAAAAAACTGCCTTATTTAGCCCAACCTATAGCATTTATGAGGAAGCTAATGCTCATTGACAGTTGCTTTTTTACTTGTCCATGTATTTATGATTTATCCTAGTACATACAGAGATAGGACAGTACAAAACATGTCATATTGAAACATTGTAAGACTAAAATTTCATAAAATGTTCTGTTTTGAGTATGAAATGGACAGCTGAAGCAGTCTGGAAATGATTTAAGCTTGGAAGTAATCTTTTCTAAGCTTGAACCACTATATGAATCAGAATGCTTCCAAAAGGTAAAAATAGCTAATTTTGCATGGTTATTTCATGAAATTTTACAGCTCAGTTATTTCAAAATAACTTGTTTTGCTTTGCCCAAAGAGAACTATATATATATTGTTAAAACATTAGATTTCAGAAACATAAAAGAGCTGAAATTTTATTGTAGACAGGTATATGGCTGATATCAATCATATCTTATAGCAAGTTCTATGGATGTAGCCTAATCCTACTCAGTTGGCCATTTTAATTTGAAAAGTTCATTGAAAAAAAATTAGTTTAGACCTCAAGCAAGGATCACTTGGAAAATGGACGAATGAGAGGAAAGGAATTTAGAGAAGGTGCATGTGGTGTTTGTGTGTGTTTTGCTTACTTCCAAATCTGACCCAGATCCGCTTCCTGTTGCCTTGAATCACATAGGCATGGCAAGCACAAAACATTATTCATCAGGAAGTATAAGAAGTGAAAGGAAACATTTGTTTATCCTGATCTAACCCATTCCCCTTCCAATTATTTCTGCAACCCACACACAGAAAGGTTAATTTCTCTGCCAGTAGCAATGGGAGAACAAATCCTTCTCTCAGCAACATCAATGGGATTTTTCCTCCAAATATCTTCAGTGTTAATATATTTGTTTAAATTGGTTTTTATTTTTTGCTGGGGGGGTGGGAAGCCACTCTGATTTGTTGAATGGGAATATAAATTTCATACAAAAATAATTAGATTCACACATTATACTAGGCTAATTTAGGCAATTAGATTAAGCAAACCAGTTCCAGTTAATCATGGGTTAATGTGACCTATGAACACAGCCACTGACTCCCTATGCTGCAGCCATCCTCAATCTGCAGAATTTTAGAATCCCCAGCCAATTGCTCTGATGGTTGGAAATCCTGGAAAATGGTTACAATAAATCTGGAAGGTACCATGTTGAGAACATTCTATAAAGTACATTCACAGAATCGAAAACATGGCAGAAACTTCAAAAATAATATAGACCACATCTTCTGATTTAGGAAACCTCTGGTAAATGGCCATTGTCTTTGTTTAAATTCCTACAAGTTTATTTGTTTATTTTATTTTATTTAGAAAATTTATATTGCTGCTTACTCGCACATGGTGACTCAAGGCGGCTTACATGGTTACTTACTCCCCCACCCTGGCAACAACACACATTCATACAAGCAATTTAATGGGCTCCATCCTGCTCTGGGTTCCCCAAGCCTGCTGGCAGAACCACGTCTTCAGCATCTTCTGAAAGAGTGTTAGAGTAGGGGCCAATCTCATCTCTGGAGGGATGATGTTCCAGAGAGAGGAAGCAACCACGGAGAAGGCCTTTCTTCTAGGTCCCACTAGATGTATCTCCTTAGGGACCTGCAACATTCTCCAGTATAGTGGGTTGGGTAGATATGACCAGCAAGAGATGGACCCTCAGATAACCAGGTCCCAAGCCATGAAGTGCTTTAAAAGTGACAACCAGCATCTTTCCCAGAAGGAAATTGGCTACCAGTGCAATTCCCACAGGAGAGGTGATATATGTGCACACCGAGTTTTGCACAAAACCATGCAGCTGCTGCATTTTGCACAACTGGAGCTTCCGGATGTTCTTCAAGGGCAGCCTTATACAGAGTGCATTGCAATAGTCAATATGAGAGGTGACTAGGGCATGAGTGACTGTGAGTAGGGTTTATTGATCCAGGAAAGGGCATAAATGGCACACATCCCGTAGTTGCACAAAGGCCCTCCTGGCCACGACGGCCACCTGCAGAGCAGGAATCACAAGTCCAGGAGAACCCCTAGATTATGCACTGGGTGTGTTTGGAGTAGTGCCATCCCATACAAGACCAAAGATGGCAATTCTCCATGGGACAAAGACCTCCAAACCCAGAGCCAACTCAGTTTTGCCAGGGTTCAGTTTCAACTTGTTGCTCCCCATCCAGCCCCTAATAGCCTCCAGGCACTGTGAGAAGGAGGTCACTACCTTCAGAGGCAGTTTGGGATTACTTGGTCAAGATATTTAGTTAAAATTATTTTTCTTGTATTCTGAATTCAATGATTCAGAACTTATGCACTGGAGGAACAGAAGATAAAACGTTCTACCCTTGAGCACAAAATTATCCAGGACTATACTTCTGACTTCCCAGATATTACTAATCTTCCAGAGATTAGATTCTCCAAAATTTCTCATCACTGATCATGTTGCTAGAATTGCTGGGCATTGATGCTCAGTAATTATTGCAGGCTGAAAATTCCACACTACTGCCAAGATTTTTAGATATGATTGTCTATGGGATCACACTGGAGAAAATGGAGCTTAAATGTACGGGGAAATGATCAACATGAATCAAACCTGCATATGACTGGTGTTGTGTTCTATGTTTGACTGATTAAATATAGAATTCCCCAGTAAACTCAATTAAGAATTTTCCAAATATGTGGCAATCATTTTAACAATAGCACCCATACCATATGCATGTGAGTCCTAAGCTACCCTTCAATGTTCCTTTGACATACTTTATTTTTGAACTCCTTTCAATCAATTCTGATTTCTTTGCTGACCCTTTTTCTGGAGGACAGGACTTTCATTTTTTTTTGCCAAACACACATTCTAATATGGAACTGATGAAATTTTTAAATGAATAGAACTGAAAGGAAGACAGATGACTCATAATCAAGGATGACGTTCAGAAGCCCGAAGTATGCTCAGAAACCAAGGATAAGAGAGACAGAAAAGGTGACTGTAATGCAGTAGATGAGTCATTTCCCCCTTTGGAAGCTCCATTATCTCAGATGAATGGGGTTGAAGAACGGGAAACAAGAAATTTAGTCATTCAACTAGTTCTCCAAACTTATAGTTCCTTGTAATTCACCTCCCCTGTGCTATGAAGCACCTCTTTTTCTATTCTTCCATAACCATATTATTCTTCCTACTTTGATCCAGTCTTCCTCAAGAAGCAGTAGTAAACAAGCTCAGCATGAATGGAAGAATTGATATGTTTGATCTCTAATGGGACTGCTGCTGCTGTCTGCAGTATTGTTTTCAATTTATAAAAGTTTATTTTTACTTTTAAAAGTGTGCTATACTTTTCTTTAATTGATATTTATGTCCAAGCAATATGACTAATCATTCAAATGGGGCATACTTTTCTTCTGAACCCTTCTGCTTTTTTTCTACTTCACTGCAAATATCAAGAAGTAGCATGGCAGCTACATTTTCTTAGGGCATTTGTCATAAATAACCCAAATGTATTTTCTGCCTTTATGCCCACTAATGATTTTTAGAATCATGATTTCTCTGCTATTTCCATTCTTTTCTACCCTCTACTTCTTCTATGCCAATTGGCCAGCAGTGTTGCCGAACTGGAAACACCATACACAATCCCCAAAGCAATTATAAAATAACGGAATCTCACTTCCTCTCATACTGAAGAGCAGGAAAAAAGGGCTATTAGTTTTCCTTGCTAGCCCAGAAATTAATTGCCATGCCTAAAAATATATGTTATGCTAAGCAAGTTTGAATCTCACATTTTTGCATATGTTTCAAGGCACAAAGTCTCATAACTCATAGAGAAGTTCTTTACTCTCATACATACAAGGATTCCTATATGCTTTGCTATCTTGCTGAGGAAATGAACAGATGAACATCAATGCCTCCCCTCTCATACTGCATGTAGTCTTGAAGGGGAGAAGCCTTTTGCAATAGAACAAAATTTTAACGAGCACTTTCCTGTGACTTCAGTACAGATTTTAATGACACATTATTTTAAGAGAGGCCTCACCTGCCTGTAAGTAACTCCCAGCTCCTCAACCTCCTGTTCTTCTTGCAGCCTGTTCACTCCAGCTTCATCTTTCATTCGAAGACAGCCTTGCTCTTTGGCTATACTTTCTTCTTCTTCTTCGTCCTCCTCTTGTTCCTCTAAGCCATCCTGGGTCCCCTCATTTTCTATTGACCCATCCAGCACAAAGGGCCCCTGGCCCAGGCCCAAACCAAGCCCCAAAGATTCCTGTTGTTCTGTCAGTTCCTCTTCTGTTTCTTCAGGGTGTGTGGTAGGTGGCCGGGGCAACTCACCAGTCTTAGTGATTATCTGCAAGAGGGGAAAAAATTAAAAAGGAACAACTGCTTGCACTTTAATTGCCTGGTAATTTTGAGGTCAAAGCAAGAACCTGGAAGCGTTGGGATAGGGAGGAACAAGGCACACTAAATACATAGTTTTTGCTGTTCTGGTGACTTTAATTCTTTGAGCTTCATTTCTAGTCCTCTTAGCTGCCTACAGGATAAAGAGGAACTCAGAAAAATACACATATTATTCAATTCCCCTATTCTAAACAGACTGACAGTAGCTGGAAGATTTCAATCCCAGGTACCTTAGAGCATGCTGAATGACAAATAGAAGGGGAGAAAAGAGCTTTGCTATCAATCATATACTTTAGTTTGGAATACCAGAGAACATGGATTCATGTCCAAATGGATTACACAAAAGTTTACCCGAGTCACATCTGCCTACCTTTCCCAGTTGAATCTGCTGCTGTTTCTGCTTCTCCAAGAAATGTTGGTGCTGTTGCTGCACAACCAAATGTTGCAATGCTTGGGGGCTCTGAGGCAGTGGGGACGATTGGGTGCGGCTCAATGGACGATGTCGAGGCAACTTGCTTACGGCGCGCAGGTTGGAGGGGATGCGTTCTCCTGTCACTAGAGGTGATTGGCCATGCAGAGGAACTGTAATGAAGAGACCAGGCTTTATTATGAAGACACATGCAAAGTATTACATTATATTACATTTAAAAATGAAAAGCAATTAGCCCTGTAATTAGATCTCATCTTTCTTTTTATTTACATGGAAATATTAGTAAGCAGCTTGAACATAACCAGACTTTCACAAAGCTCATATTCTGAATGCAAAAGTTGGCTGGATAGCAGCAGACTTGATTTTGAAGAGAGGAAAATTATACCAAAGATACATTATAAAGACTACTTAACACTGCCACTAACCCAACAGAGGCTTCTATATGAGAAAAAAAAATATAGTAAGATGAAAGACAAAAAATAATTTGCTTTTAGCCACAGGTCTTGATGATCAAATACATAAAATAAAGTCTAAGAATGTACCAACTTCTTGTTTTTATTAATTTAGAGTAATTAAAAGTAGTTTTCAAAGCACAGAAGTGTTGCGCACATTCATCCCCTTTGCAATCAATTGCAATTCCAGGGGAAAAAAAGTTGCTTGCACTATTTTGGATGCTACCACAAATTTTGCAATCTGGTCTGTATTGAAAGCTTTTATCCATCAAAATCTTTATTGCTATTTCAGTATTTGTGAAGTGCTTCATTGCTGGATAAGAGAGGACAAAAAGGTCCTTCTTAAATTAACATGTATTTGGTAGGAAGACAAATAACCTGATCTTTGATCATTCCATTACCACAAATACATTCATGGTTAAAACTAGGGAAGGTAAGAATACCTGCTTTCTGGGAGAACTGTAGGCATGAGGTGGAATCCCAAATCAATAAATGCTCCCTACAACAAGAAAGTTAGGATTTTCGGATAGGGTGGTTATCATAATTGTTGTGTAATGTGATACACTATCTGAAAATATGTGACTGGCTGATAATTTGCAGTCAATTGCAAACTCATAATCATAAAACTGACTTTTTTGGTTGAATCTGGGTTCTCTGTTCAACACAGTCCTAATGAAAAACAGATCTACTCTTGACTGACTAAATTGTGTCCATCTTCCTGATTTCAGCAATTCTTCCTGATAATATAAAGTAGATAAACTGTGTTCTGCATTTGAAGCAGTTTTTCTAAGTATGGCAATACTGATTACTTGAATTGGTATTGTGTATCATTAATCTGTTATTGGTGTTCAGTTACCAAGTCGTATCCAGCTCATCGTGATCTCATAGCAACCTGTGATGACCCAGGGCACAGCACAGAGGCAATGCAGTCAGCTGGCAATTCAAACCGCCCTTTAATTCCTCCAATTTCCCCCAAATGCTCCCACGTTTCTGGCAAGCCTCCAAACAAAGGTAGACACACACACATATCTCTGGCTGCAAGTAGTTTCACATACAGTCTAATAGGAGAGGAATTTATTCAAGGCCACGGAGATAAGAAAGAATGACACATAGATCATGAATCTAAAGAGTCTCACGGTTGCCTGAGCAGTTTCAGTAGGGGAGCCAAAATACAGTCCGAGTTCTTTAAACATCCAAACAATGTTGTCAGCCAGTCCAATGGTCAGTGTCCGGGTTTCCAAGCAGAAGTCACAAAACAAGAGATCAGCAATAACATACACAAAACTCCAAGGAATCAGCATTCACTGTGCCTCTCCCCACAGTGTCTCCTTAAATCTCATTCTCCAGGTGTGTCTTGTGGAGAGAGGTGGAAGTCTCTCCTCCCAAGTAGTTAAGCCTGCCTGCGTTGTTCCCTCCTTCTCTCCACTCTCTGTGCTCTAGGATCAGGTGGGGGTGGCTCTTCCTCATCACTTGAACTCTCTCTCTCCTGTTCCTCCTGTCCCACTCCTGAAGGGCCCCGGCCTGCCTCTGCCTGCTCTTCCCCACATTCCCCTGAAACCACAGACACCTCTCCCTCAACCTCCATAGGGTCCCGCTCATTTTCCTCTGCAGATTCAGGCTCCAACAACTCTTCACCCCACCCCCGGTCCTACACTGCCCAAACTCATGCCCACTGCATCAATGATACTGTCTAACTATCTCATCCTCTGCTGCACTCTTCTATTTTTGGCTTCAATCTTTCCCAACATCAAGGTCTTTTCTAATTAGTCCTCTCTTCTCATTTGGGGCCAAAGTATTTGAGCTTCAATTTCAATCCTTTAAAGGACACTTGGGATTGGTTCCTTTAGGGTTGACTAATTTGATCTCTTTGCAGTCCAAGAGACTCTCTAGAATCTTCTCCAACACCACAATACTTCAACACTCAGCCTTCCTTATGGTCCAACTCTCATAGCCATACATTACTACTGGGAAAACCATAGCTTTGACTATATGGACCTTTGTTGGCAAGGCAATGTCTCTGCTTGTTAATATATTGTCTAGGTTTGTCATAGCTTTCCTCCCAAGCTTTCCTCTTTTAATTTCAGAGCTGCAGTTGCCATCTGCAGTGACTTTTAATATCATTAAATGGAATATCATTAATACTCAATGATAAAGCTGTTTCCTTTATAGTGCTGTAGCAATCTTCAGAAAAAGGATTCTGCTGACAACTTTCTTTTTTAGACTTTCAAAAACCTTGTGATTGCTTGGACTTCTGCTTCCGGATCAGGCAGCTTCAGCCACACGAAGGGCTTTGCTCTTCGATGGCTGCCTTTCTCTCTACTGGTAGACTCTTATGCGGGTCTTAAATCGCCTTGGAGGGGCGACCACCACCGAGGAGGCTTTTGCTCGGCTGCGGTGGAGCGGTGGCTCCCCCTACAGTCCGAGCTAACTCCGTAGGGCTGATGGAGAAAATCGGTCAGTAAAATGGCTGATCACTTTGCTGTGCCAGCTGAAGACAGAAAATCATCTAAGCATAAAGAACCACCGTGGTAAATCCGGGTGAGACCTTTCCTCCCTCTCTTCATTCTGAACTATTTTTCCTGCAAAGAGCTTGCTTTTTAGATGACTTCCCTATTCTAAGAGAGCAGCTTCTGTCTGTTTGGGGAAAAAAACCACTTCAGAATAGCACTTATTATATTTTGAACCTTTTGGATATTGGGCATCCCTGGAGAGATTTCTAATTTAGAGCATTATTTTACTTACTATACTGAAGATATTTGCTTTTTTTCTGTCTCTTTCGTTATCATTTTTAATGAGATAAAGGCTTTTAAAGTGCAAAGAAAAGCTTTTTATAGCTTACTGAGGACATCTTGTGGCAAAAATTACTTCAGGAATTAACAAGAAGAAAAGATAAAGGCTTGGAAATAGCTGTGGGTTGTGTTTGTGATTTAAAAATTGTGGAGGCGGATGTATATGGATTCTAAATACATACAGTTTCCACAAAAAGATTAAAAGACTTTTTTTTATTATGGAAATAGAAGTTTTTTACCCACAGCTTGACTATTAGCTGATATTGGAAAAAATATTGGAAATGACAGAGGAGATGAAGTTATGGAGAAAAACTAAAGATCATTTTGCAGAACCACAAGCTGAGCCTCAAACTTTAAAATATCAATCTATAGGCCAAGAAGAAGCCTATATGCAACAGTATACACAATCTGAGATGGAAGAAGAAGTTACTGATCAATTGAATTCTGGACTGGATTATGAGCTGATACTGGAAAAAATATTGGAAATGACAGAGATGAAGTCATGGAGAAAAACTAAAGACCATCTTCTAGAATTACAAGCTGAGTCCCAAATTTTAAAAGACCAACCTACAGGCCAAGAAGAAGCTTATATGCAACATTGTACACAATTCGAGATGAAAGAACTTACTGATCAATTGAACTTTAGAAAAATTCTGGACCCAAAACCCCAGACTGAGACTTTAAATAATTATTCTATAAATCAACTGATTACTACAGAGGAGGATATTTCACAAGCCTATGTACAAATGGAGAACTTTGAAGATCAAAAAATGACTATAAGTGAAGATCTCCCATTGCCAAAATTAATTGACAGCCAGATGCGATCGACTGAAAGTTATGACAACCTGGATAACCAAGATGAAATTATAATATGGAATAAAATGGACTATATTGTTTATATGATACTGGAAGAAGGGGAAGAGAATTTTGATCAGATTGATTTGTTGATAAACATTAGTACTCAAATACTGAGATTTGATGACATAGATGCGACATTACGGAAACTAACTTGGTATAGAAAAAAAGCCAGAGTTAGATTTAAAAATGTGATTTAAAATCTTAATTATTGGGTCAAAAAGGCTTTAGAAATTTGGACTGATTTGACAATCTAATTGAGTAAATGAAAGCAGTAAGATAATAACTGGTGTAATAATATGTTTGTTTTAGATATGATAGTTAATTTGGTTGAGAGTTAAATTTTACTTAACAGGCCGAAATGATTTTTTTGTTTGTGTGTGTGTTTTCTACTCTGTTTATATAGAAAACTATTTTGTAATAGCTGAAGAATTAGAGAGATCTATGACAAGAGAAGAAAGGGTATTAATTAATGATGTATTAAATTAAGAGATGGAATATATGTGAAAATATTAGAATGTTATTCTTGGAATATTATGTGTGTTGTAGAAGGGATACCCAAAATTTTATTAATATGTTTGTTTAAGATTAATTGGAATATTTTAATTGAAATTAGTGGAGATTAAAAGCAGGAATGATTTATGTAGATGTAATAGTAGAGGCTTTATGGATTACTGCCTTGTCATGGCGAAGGGGCTTGTGTAACTCAATGAAGCTATAAGCTATGCCATGCAGGGCCACCGAAGACGGACAGGTCATAGCAGAGAGTTCTGACAAAATGTGATCCACTGGAGAAGGAAATGGCAAACCACTCCAGTATCTTTGCCATGAAAACCCCATGGACAGTACTAAAAGGCAAAAAGATATGACACTGGAAGATAAGCCCCTCAGGTCGGAAGGTGTCCAATATGCTACTAGGGAAGAGCAGAGGGCTAGTACTAGTAGCGCCAGAAAGAATGAAGCGACTGGGCCAAAGCTGAAAGGATGCTCAGCTGTGGATATATCTGGTGCTGAAAGGAAAGTCCGATGCTGTAAAGATTTTTTCTCCATAGGAAC